ACTGGTTGTCCTAGGTGGATCCCATCAAAAGTCTGTGCACCAGCTTTCCCACGCGCTGTCTCCTTTCGTACTGATATTTTAGACATTACTTGGTCGTAGTAGTACTAGCCAGGTCCAACTTGATATAAGTGCCAGGTAAAAGCCTGCCATGAACATCTTGATATACCAAAAAAGTAAAAGTAAATGATTAATCCCCGGGATTCGCCTTCTCCTGGATACTCACTCTGGGAGGAACAACTTCTGGTAATCAACTAGCCCTCTATTTTCCTTAATCTTCTTTCTCCATCTAATCTAGAACAAACCAAAACTAATCAGGCTCCTCATTTCCTACTTTAATACAATCGCTTCTCAAAACCACTCAGGAGATCCTCATGGCCCATGTTCACTATTCTACTCTTGATTACATCCGAGAATTACGGCAGAATTTCATAGGTGGGTTGTCAGGCGAAAAATCGACTCAACAAGAAGGGATAGGGAGTAAAAACCAAGAACTAGACTTTTCATAGTAGGGACAAAAACTACCTACCAGTCGGTTGCATATCTTCTTTCGGCTCTTCTGATGGGATTTCCTGTTTGATCTGGGAGTTCATGTTCATCATCATGTGATGACTAAGAATGTTTTGCGTCATCATGTCGGCCATAAATCCACCACCCGTCAACGAGTTGTTCAGGCTATTCAGCTGATGTCGTCCCATATTAGATAGGCTACCGGCTGGTAATCCTAGTTCAATTTCCTAAACAGCAAACATTCAGAAAAGACAAAATCATCAAGCCCTTGTTTGTCAAACCTTTTGTCTCTCAGCTATTCTTGATACCAACTTCATTGCCCACGTCAATTTCAGTTTCACATGACCACCATGTTCCTCCAGCAAGCCCGGTGCCTGAAGAACATGCAGATGACATCATTGAAATCTCTAGAATCTTTCCGACAAACCCTATAGTTTTTAAAATTTACAGAAACCAGAGGATTTTTGACAGTTCCCCGGCAAATTTAAATCCCAAATCATCTCAAATACTATACCTTTTCAAGAATGTACTGCTTAGCGATGATAAGCGCTTGAGAAGCTGTAAGATGACCGTGGGGATCGGCTTGCTTCACAGTCACCATGTAATCCACCAGATCCGCGTCTAACTCATCACCTTCAAACGACGCGTATTGATGGTACGCTCGACAACTGTAATCAGTAAAAAAACCCCTACCAATCAATTTCGGTCGTCCTCGTCCCCGTCCTCGCAAGAAACCCGGAGAACCCGTCGCATGGGCGGCATTCATTCGTAACATATCAACCATAGCCGGTGAGAACATTCCTGGAGCTGCGGCCTGGGCTGCAGCTGCTGGGGCCGAAGCCGATGCAGTCTGAGGTTGAGAAGTCGGCAAAGCACTGGGAGTACTTGGTTGCTAAAACCATCCATTAACTCAAATCAAACAAGTATGACCAAAGAGGAATAGAAGCCCGGACCTGTTGAAGCGAGGCGATTGGGTTGCTGATATTCGGCACAGATGGCTGGTTCATTTGGGAAGGAGCGGTTACCGCTGGAGCAGAGCCACTGTCGGAAGCCATTGGGTCAGCTTCACCTTCTGACGATGGACCTGGTGAGGCATTAACTCCTGCACCTAGCAAAGCTGAAACAGTTACAAAAAATAAATCCTCATCAAAAAATGGTTGAAGAGCCACGAGCAGGTCTACTACTCACCACTGTTGCTGTCCTTCCGCTGATAATAGGTGGAAACCGGTGGTGCAATACCGAACCGTTTGGCGGCTGCTGCTCCACCATAGGCTCGAGCATATTCAGCCACAGCTCTTCTATCTGCAACCACCGGCATGGGTACTTTTCCACCACCTGGATGACCAGCATAGCCTGAAACGAAAAGTCTCAATTGTGACATTCACTTCATAAGAAGAGATTTGCCCTACCGGATCCCATCCGTTGGGGAGGAGGTACAGGCGTACGGTTGAGTTTAGTTAAATCTGCTAGGCCGGAGAGTTGTTGTGGTGTAGCTCCGGGGAACATTGCTGACAGCATATTTGAAACTTCCTCCTACAAAAAGGGAACTTTACGGGAGTTGATTTTCATTGAAAATGTCCACGAAACTGACCTTTGCTCGAGGTTCGCTTATCGAATTGTGCTTTGGACCGCACGTCTCGCACATGCATGGTGTCACGTGTAATGAACGCATGATTCGTGTCATCTGAAATGTAAGGAGATAAAAAACCCTGCAGAGAAAAGAAAACTAAACAATTGCTGTTCGGATCCCTTCAAGAAAATATCT